GCATGTGAGGCTCCCCCACAGCGTCTGCCAAGCCCTGACTCTACATCCTGCCATTCACAAACTGAATTCACGGCCTCTGCCAGCGAGGTCCGAGGAAGGAGCTCCCACCTCTCATCCTACGGTGCACTCACCCAATTGGCAGGACCTGGTCTGGTTGTATATTAAACTCATGGGGATGATCCAGCCTGCAGACGTGCCAGCTGCGGGGTGGCAAGCCTTCTTGCCCCTCAGGGAGTTCCAGGTGAGGTGGGCATCTGATTTCTTAACCACTGCCACAGCGTAATAACCTGCAACGGAGAGACACTTCAATACAGTGCAATACTTGAGGGCCCTCGGGTTCTAGAGCTGCTGCAGCAAACTCGACCCACTAGTTTCTTGATGTGGTGGAAACTGCCGGATGAGGCCCTCCCCTTACTCTAGCGCAGGATTCTCCCAACAGCTATCATCATGAGGCACTGGGCCAAGCCTAATCAATGACTCTTCACATATATCTATATACACGTTGTTGTTAGCTACCATCAAGTCAACTAACTACAACTCATAGAGACATTATGAACAGCAGAGCTGAACCCTGCCCTGTCCTATGCCTGATGTACTCAAGCCCATTTCTATAGTCATGTCAATCCAACTTGTTGAGTGTCTTCCTTTCTAAGTATGACGTCTCTATCTTTCTAAGTAAGATGTCTTTTTCCAAGAGCTAGGCTCTCCAAACAACATACACTCACACATCCATACTGCATATATTTTTTTAAAGGACAAATATTTTGTTATCCTACTTATATGAAATATCTGGGATAGGTAAAGGCATAAAGACCATAGTTTATTAGTGGTTACCAGTGGCGAGAGGGAAGGTAGTATGAAGAATTACTGTTTTGGGGGTACAAAGTTTCTTGTAAAGGTGATGAAAAAAATTGGAAGTGGCTACTATTAATGATTGCACAGAATAGGAAATGTAATTGTTATGAATTGTACTTGAAATGAAGGAATTGCTAATATCTTGTTATGTATGTTTTACTACAGTTAAACTTTAAGTAGGTAATATTGTGCGTCCCATATACTTTCCACGTTAACTCTCAATTCTAGTATCTGTGCATTGTAATATGTATGTAAATCGAGGATTGGGGAGGGTCAGGATACAGACCTGCCTAATTGTAGTTACTCATAAGGAGTGGGGATCAAATATTATTTTAGGGTTCCAGTTTCTCCACAACCTCGCCAGCATTTGTTGCTTGCTGTTCTGTTAAATTTTGCTATTTTGACTGGGGTGAAATGATATCTCATAGTT